GGGGGGGGGGAGGGGAGGGGAGGAACGCGTGACCCAAATGCGAATTTTATCGAGTTACGCCGTGTTATAATGCCGAAGTGCATTTTCTATTGCAGGCTGGTTTCGACACGCGATGTAAATTACTCGAGGGCGGCAATTTTTACATCCGGTTTTGCCGTGAACGCGCAACCCTCCTCGATACCCGATACGACGATTCCAACATTCGACGCGGAAAACACGGTTTCGTTGGACGAGTAGCGGAAACGCGATAACTATTCCCAGATAAACTCTAGGCAAGCTCTCGCAAGAGGTACATATACGTGTATATATACGCCTATTTCCCACTCCCCCTCCCCCCTCATCACCCCTCGTATACGCGATATAAGCGAAATCGCTTATCATCGATCGAAATCGAATATGAATTTAAAATATCGAATGAAAATATTGGCCGAGTAAGTAAGACAGAGAGAGAGAGAGATGCGTATATATACCGTATATATCGCGTATGTATTATCGAGCGAATTTCGATGATGGGAGCGAGAGAAGAAGAAGAAGAAGAAATTGGGAGGGGAAATGGGGAGGGGGAGAGAGAGGGGGGGGGAGGGGAGGATATGGGGCATAAGCTTGGACAAAGATACGGGAACGAAATAGAAATGGAATGGAACGAAATGGATACACCAGCGGCGCATTAATTTCGAGGTTCAACGACCTATCGCGTAAGTGTGTAGATATACATTTCTATACTCGCGCAAAGTTCTATCCCGTTTATGGGAGTTGGCTGTATAACCGACGAATTTTACCGAATCTTTTCTACTCTTACTCTCTCTCTCTCTCTCTCTCTCTCTCTCTTTCTCCTACCATCCTCGAATCGTTTCGCTTTATCGCATATACGATTCGTCGTCCAATCGATTATTCTTGGGCCAATTCCATTTCCAAATCCTGCAAATTCTTCTTATCGATCTTTCTCCTCTCTTCCCACTTTTCCTTCTTTCCTTCTCTTCCGATCTTTAAAAAGTCTTTATCTTAAGATCGTGATCTTAAAGAGGAAGAAATTGGAGATGTTGGCGAAGTTGCACTCTACACCGCTCGTATCAACGGAGGGAGATCGAAGATGAGCGGAGAAATGTCGCGCGATATTTTTACACATGATCGACCACGGTCGTGCGAGCGATACGGGTATTTGCGAGGAATGAAACGAAAGAAGCGGACGATAGCGGCGAAAAGTGCATCTCGTCTCGAGGATGAGGATACGGGACGACGAGAGGCGAAAGACCGAGTCTCGTATCAATTATTTCTTCATTTATTTATAGGCAGGGCCACGACACCGTCCTATCATCGTGGTTGTTGTTTTCCATCATTTCCACTCGATTCCAAGACTCGACGACACTCCTTTTCGCTTTCTCCCCTTTCCTCCCCCCCCATCCTTCCTTCCGTTCTTCCTTCGCCCAAATCTAACACTTTGTAGGATTATTTCTTCAAACGGAACGAAAATTCGTTCCTCCCTTTCTTCTTCCCTTCTTTTCCTCCTTCTTCCTCTTCTCTTATCCTCCTTGTCAATTTTTTTTTTGGTAATCGATATCGACGCGATTCCGATATCGAGTTTCGTTTCGTTGTTATATTTTTACATCGAAACGAACGTAAAAAGTAAAAAAGAAAAGAAAAGAAAGGAAAAGAAAAGAAAAGAAAAGAAAAAGAAGGAAAAGATCGAAAAGTATTCTCGTCCGAACGAAACAAATTCTCGCTCTCCGTCCATCATTCGAGTAGTAGCTTTCTCTCGGTATTCCGGAATACGCGTGATGCACCATGATTCGAGAACGTGATATCGACAAGCGTAACAACTTTAACTAGAAAACGATTCTACAGTGCGGTCTTGCAATGCGACTGACCTCTGTTCGCTAAAACTATATTTATCTCCGAAGCGCCGAAGCACGGTGTGTTGTACTTAATGTTTTAGCTTTATTGTCTCTCCGTTCTACGCTGCGATCACTTTTTCTTCTCTTCTTCTCTCTCCTTCGCGTCTAGCCTCCTCGCCTCTTCCTCTTTCTCCCTTCTCATCTCTCTCGCTCGCCTGCATTTATTTGCGCCTTTCTAATTGCTCGCTTCCAAATATAACGAAATCTCGCTCTCTTCCTAATAATCTCTAAACCGATTATCGATTATCGATCCGACGATGTGACACGATATCCTGTATACTCGATCGATATTCTCGCGTTATTTTCGCGCGTGTTGCATCAAATTCGAATTCGACGGCGATTCTCTCTCTCTCTCTCTCTCTCTCTCTCTCTCTCTCTCTCTCCCTTACTCGGTTGTTGGACGTGCTTTTAAAAGATTTCGTGCCAGACGGGCGGTAGCCGCGTCTAGACGAAAATAAAATTGCCATCTTTCCGTCTCGTCGTCGCTCTTTCCATCCACGCCTTTCGGCACGGGAGCATGACTCATTCCTACGTCTGACCTGCAAACACAAAGAGAAGGACAACTCCTAAATTAACGAAAGGGAAGGAACGAGAGGAAGGAAGAGAGCGAGAGAAAGAGAGAGAGAGAGAGAGTGTGTGTGTGTGCGAAATAGGAGATAGATAAATAGGGAAAAAGAAGAGGAAACGCAGTGTTGGAAACACTGCGATCGAAATTTTTCGGTGGAGAAGGAAGGACGTGACCCCGTGACGAATGGGGAGAGATGCCGGGAATGAAAAACGGAGGAGACGAACGCGACGGGACGGACGGACGGACGGACGGACGCGTCATTCCGTGGTTCGGTCGGTTCGCAATTAACCGGCGTGGAAATCGATTTAAAGAGGGATTCGGGTAGACGCGGAATGCTCCCACTGCTAATTGCTCGTTTCCATGACGATGTGACGCTGGGCGAACGTTGGAGGAACGAGAAATCGGAAATTCAAATTCGCGAGGGAGGGAGGGGAGGAGGAGGGAAGAGTTCTCCCGATAAATAATTATCTCGAAACGTCGCCGCCGGAAATCAAACGTGTAGTACGCGGAATACGAGAAGAGCGACAACGTCGATAACGATATCGAAGCTGCTCGAGTTCGAAATAAACGATCGCGAAACGCATCTAACGCCGCTAAAAATAATTTATTCCTCGTCCTCTCCCCGTCGATTCGATTATCTCTACCCGCTCTCGCCCTTCCGTCGCCCTTCGCTCTTACAAGAGCGTTCCAATCCAAACGTAAATTTCGTTTCGGCGAAAAATTTCTCGACGAGCGAGAAAAGAAAGAAAAGAGGGCGAGGGAAGGGAAAAGCGGTTTCACGGAATACCGTATAGAGAGAGAGAGAGAGAGAGAGAGAGGGGGGGAGGGAGAGAGGAACGGTGATGGGATCACGATTGGAATACCGGGTACGAAGGGAAGGGCCGGTTTAGAAGGCAGGACGAACTCGTGACCGCGGCGCGCGGCTGATACGTGGTCGATACGGAAACGAAAAGAAATCGCCGATTGATCGACCACCAAGGGAAAACATCGTAGTCCGTGTAACGGTACGATTTGAGCCAGCTTTACCCTTCATGGAAGCGGTCACACGCACACGCAAGCACGCAAGCACGCACGCACGTACGCACGAACGCACGCACGTACGCACGCGAAGCGAGCGATGGCCTGAATAGAGTCGAGACACTCGTTTCGCCTTTTTTCCGTCTCCCTTGTTTCTGTCTTCTTTGCCGAACGTGGTCGATCGCCACGACGACCACGACGACGACGACCACGACGACGACGACGATGCGATGGAGGTCGCCTGAAAGGCTGCTAGCAGTTCGAACCTCGCTCTCCGGTTAAATATCGAACCAGCAACCACTCGATTGGTCGTCGACGGCAAAAGAAACGCGAATCCCCTACCCACTTACTTTAGCCGGTTAACACAATGGCTATAACGCCATCGTTCGTTTCTTTTTCCTCCTCCTTCTTCTTCTTCTTTTTCTCCTTCTTCTTCTTCTTCTTTTTTTTTTCCTTCGTTTTAATCACCCTCCCCTTCCTCCCGCCTCTCTCCCTCTTTTCATTTCATCGCAATCATCTTCTTCGTCTTTCATCGTCTTCTCATCGTTCGTCGTGTTTTTTTTTTTTCTTTCTTTTTCTTCTTTTCCATCTTTTATTCATTTCCAGATCAGAGGCTACGGCACTCGAAAGGCAGCCTCGACGTTCTCTATTTCAAATTCTCGGACAAGGTGGTTCAGCATCGCGTGACGAGAGCGGAATTATCGTTGTGGATATGGGGGACGAAGGAAGAGGAGGTCTCGGAAGAGCTGGACGAACTCGGAGGAGATTTGGAACGGTCGATGGAGAGCGAGGAGGAGGGTGGTGGGCCCGTGACGATCACGTTGCAAAGGATCGTTCGCGGCACCACCGAGACGGGAGGTCCATCGTTGGGTCCACCGTTGACCACTAAACATCCTCGACCGATCGGCTCCAGAGGCAATTGGGTAACGATCGAATTGAGGAGAATGGTCGCCGAATGGTTCAAACATCCACGGGACAATCTCGGAGTAGCGCTCAAGATCTCCGGTCCCGGAGGTGGTGGTAGTGGCGGTGGCGGTGGTGGTGGTACTAGCGGTGGTGGTGGTGGTGGTGGTGGTGGTAGCGGTGGTGGTGGTGGTGGTGGTGGTAGTGGTGGTGGTGGTAGTGGTAATCATCGCAGAAATTCGAAATTAGTCGAGACTAATCCCGAAGCCGAGTACGCGCCATACCTCGAAGTACAGACGCAAGAACTCGACTCTAGAAGAGGGGCGAGGATCAAGAGAAACGTAGGACTTAATTGCGACGAAGCCAGCCAAGAGACCAGATGTTGTCGATACAAACTCACCGTCGATTTTGAGAAATTTGGCTGGGATTGGATAATCGCGCCCAAGAAGTGAGTATCTCTCCGTATAAAAATGGATTATACACAATGTACGTACACATCTTCGATATCGTATACTCGTTTCCCGAGCGAAACGTATGCAACGCGTACGAATATCTGTTCCGTATAGATAAAAGTGTAAAAATAAGAATATCCGCGCTATTCTATTTTTTTCTCTCTCTTTTCTTTTTTCTTTTTTTTTTTTTTTTTTTTTTCATCACGACTCACATCGCATATATAATTATCACGTACATGCGTAAATAACGGATTACGATTTTTGTGTCTCTCTCTTAGGTACGATGCCAATTATTGTTCGGGCGATTGTCCGATGGCCTTTCTACCGGCATATCCAAACACTCACATCGTCAGCCTGGCGGAACCGCCTAACAACTCTGGTCCATGTTGCGCCCCGAGAAAACTCTCCGAGATCACGATGTTGTACTTCGATAACGAGTATCAAATCGTGTTTTCGCGATTACCAGGCATGGTCGTCGAGAGATGTGGATGCTCATAGTCTACCTTTATAGCTCGAGAGAAGAGCAACGACGGCGAAGAAAATGTCAAGGCTCTTTTAGGATCTACTAAAATTGTCGATGCTATTTTTACTCCCATCGTTCCTTCCCTTTCCTTCTTCTTCTTCCTTTACTTTCCCTCCCTCTCGGTCTCGTTTCACCGTTTCCTTTTCCCGTTCCTTCCCTCCCCCCCATTAAACTTATCCAATTTCCATGGACGATGGACGACGAACGGTGGCGATTATCGTCGCGTCACCGTTCTCGTCGTCCTCGTCATCTTCGTCCTCGTCGTCGTCGTCGTTGTCTCCGTTCTTCGACGAATTCTCATTTCATAGACTGAAAGTGCCTTGTTCGGGGTGGTTTATTATTATACCGAAAATCCCTTTGTAAAGAGTATGAACGGGGAATCACGATCAACACTCAACGAATGCTACAGAGATACAGATGATCGGAAAGATCATAAGATAAAAAAAGTCCGTTTTCTTTTTTCTCGATATACATGATATGATCGATTGAATAATTGAAACGGGCACCTTTGATAGTCGTTTAAGATTAATGGCAAGGCAAATAGTTCCTAGAGTCACGGTATTATTATTAAGGTGTCGATGCGTTTACACCTGATCTAAGGAAAACGACCGCGAAAGAATTATTTTTTATACGGGAGCTTATCGCATTTAAATCACCGACTTGCTACTTTTCACGGTCCGATTTTTATCGACTTATATAGAACTTTTACGAATCACGCAAAACGAAAACAAAGCATCTTGTCGCAATGTTTCCTTGCACATCGTTGCCTTTCCAAAAGCGAGGATACGAAGATGGAACGATTCGTTTCCGGTAGTCGTCGTTGATCGGTGAAAACGTGTTGGCCGAAAGATCTCTGTGTACAGCGAATCATTTTCTTTTTTTCTCTTTCTCTCTCTCTCTCTCTCTCTCTCTCTCTCTCTCATCTCTATCTTTTCTCTTCTTCCTCTTCCTCTTCCTCTTCTTCTTCTATCTGCTTTTTACAAACAAATAAACGATACGTATACGAGAAATGTTTTCTCTTCGAAATATATAGCATAGCGATATAAGTAAATGCAAATTTTCTCTCCTCTTTTCTTCTTTTTTATAACGCATACTTGAATACTCCTCTTTCTTCCTTCCTCTCACGTATATCCATCCGTTCCCGTTTCTTTCCCCTTTTAGCGAGTCATGTGAATGCGTGCATACGAGTCGTGTAAATATATCATATATCTAGATCGTTCTTTGCCGTTTTTCTTCAAATTCTCTCTTCGATTCCTCACTTTCCGCATTCTCTGTCATTTCATCGTTGTCGTTACCATCCTCGTCATCGTCGTCGTCATCGTCGTCGTCATCGTCGTCATCATAATCATCGTCATCATCGTCATCATCATCATCATCATCATCATCATCATCATTCATCACTCTTCCCCTCCTTCCCTTCCTTTACGATTCTTCCAACGAAGAAACGTTGCTTGTATATGCTTACGAATGCATGTCCTTTTTCTAACGTGATTAATAACTGATCCACTCGATATATTATGTATACTATGTATAGAAATGCGAAATTGTAACAATGATCTGGGCTGATCAAATTCGGAAAAATCAACGAGTGCATATATGTTTTGGGATTAAAAAACATGAGAGAGAGAATATTTTTTATTCGCGCTGTAGTTGGATCGCTGTGGATCCAAATCGCAGATAAATCAGTGATAATTATCATTTGCGTAGATATTTGCGTATATGTGTATATGTGGCTAACGTTCGATCTTTAATCTTCGATGAAAGTGTATTTTTTCGGGAAAATTAGATTGAGATGCGTTTTCTAGCTACGTTTCTTTTTTTTTTTTTTTTTTTTTTCACACACGATTTGGTACAGTATGGTAGTATCGTTGCGATATCTAGATATGCTTAGCTCGAAAAGTGCGCCAACCGAGAAACCGTCTCGGTGGATATTCGGAATACATATACATGGGGCTCCGGGCTCGTTTTCTAAATACCCGGAGAATTTTTGGAATTTTTCTACGATTTCTCGTGCGAGACGAGGATAAATGACGAAGAAACGGCGCCTCGTTTCCGTAATTTATCTTCCCTTCGATGTAAGAGTAGTGTTAGAAATGTTACGGACGTTTCGAAATTATTCGTTTTCTCATCACGTGATATCGATGTTTCAAATTCACGAAAATATAGTAATAATATACGAGAAAAAAAAAAAAAAAAAAAAAAAAAAAAAAAAAAAAAAAAAAAAAAAAGGATTCCTAACCTAATTCAATAATTTTTCTCAAAAAATCCATTTGCTCCTTTTCCTTTCTACCCTCCTCTCCCTCCCTTTTTTCTTTTTCTTACCTACCTCTCCTCCCTATTTCCTAGCTACCCGCTTTACTACGCCTATCTATCTCATCACTTCCTTATCCGTTGTTTTTTTTTTTCCCTTAACCCTTTCTTTCTTTTCTTTTCTTTTTCTTCTTCTCTTCTCTTCGATTTTCGTTTTTGTTTGTCGATGTGTACCTAGAATTAAAAATTAATGGAATTGTATACTCTCAGTATCAAAAAAAAAAAAAAAAAAAAACAAGAGCGGCGAATACTGCATACTTATATATATATACATATATATATAACGTGTACTTCCTAGGTAGAGAGTATTCATAGAATATTTATTCGCTGAAATAAATGGTTTTTTTCGACGAAAGATGTACTCGATTTACTCTTTCTTCAAATAATTCTTCTTGTTCTTAAAAGTATACATATATAATATATAGTATATATATATAATATATATATATATAGATATTTTAATTATTTTCGACATTTATAACGATGACACGAACATTATTAAACTTTATTTCTTTTTTTCCTCTCTAATCATCGCTCGTGCAAGATTCATGGTTACCACTTACCACGATAAACTTTTGGGCCGTAAAACGATTATTATTGCTTCGTGGCTTGTTTTATTTCGTTTACCGATTATAAATAAAAAAAAGAAAAAAAAATTTCTTTTTTCGTGTAAGAAAAACAAAACAAAAAAAAAAAAAAGAGAAGAAAAAATTATTCGCAAATTCAATGGAAAGGAAAAATACAAATTACATAACGTCACGTGTAATTCGAACAATTAAGAAATTTGTATAAACGAACCGTATAATACCACGCTATCTTTTTTTTCCTTTTGTTTCTACTTCTTTCTCCTTTCACAAAGAAGCAAGTAAATGCTCGTTGATATCAATATTTTTAATCTTTATCTCAGGTCAAAGTTAAACACGAGCGAGAAGTATCTTTTGTCCGACCGATTCTCGTCCGACTAAAGAAATTTCATTTAAAAAAGAAATCATTTTTTTTAATAATTATCACATACCATACATACATTTTTCATTGATCTTATCGCGCATCTAATACGCATCGATCGATTCCTACCTACCATCCATCTACGCACGTATGTACGTACGTACGTACGTGAAAATATACATATATGATATATCAAATCGATCGTCTCGATTCGATCGATTCCGTTGTTGGAAATGGACGGAGATTACGGATTTTTACTTTTTTACGAATGGTATTTCGGATTCGTTTAAGAAATCCGTACGTTTATCTAACGCACGATATATATCTGGTCGGATGCGTCGTCGAATGACATAATACACGTGTACGTATATATTCGTTCAACGTTCCTATTCTCGACGCTTTTCGCCCTATTCTTTCGACGCTTCTTCTTCCAACTCGATTCCAAAAAGTTGAACGACATATAGAAACGGATTTTCATTCATTTTTTGACGAGCGGAAGGGAAGGAATGAAATTAAAATAAAATTAAAATAAAATTAAAATTTGTTTAAATTTGTCGGAGATCTCCGAAAATTATTGCAAAGGATTGACGATAAATATTATTTAAGAGGGAGGAGGGGGGAATTGTACGGAACGGAAAACATGATTAAATAACAAAATGTCGATACGTGTAATTGTCGAACCGATGCTTTCAATGCTAACGATAAGAATTTATTTTGGAAATATTATTTTATCACGCGAAACCAACGTGATACCAATTATAAATTCAACAAAGTAAACGTAAAAATACACGGATAAGCTTTGGACGAGCTTTGTTGTCCGTGGTTAAATCGTGCATAAAAATTTGATAATCGGAAATAAGTGGAAAAACAACCAACCGTGTATCATCCTCTCTTATTTTTTTCATCTCTCTCTGATAATCGGTCGAGGAAATTCTCCAGGATTACTCGTATTACTCGCGTTCCACTCCGTTTCGATGTTTCGTTCAAAATACTATTCAAACGGTATAAATATTTCGAAACGGTATAAATATTTCAAAGCGTCTGCATTTTTGCGAACAACATTTTCGATGAATACATATATACATATATATTGCATATATAAAACGAGAGATAAAACGAAAGTAAACGTACTTATGTATCTATACATCGAGATTTCGTTCGTGTCGAACACGTATGTATTATACAATGTTGGATGCACGAGTAGAGACGAGTGAACCAGTGAACTTTACGACTGTCAACTGTTTCGCCAGACGTGCCAATTCGCGTTTTATTGTTTTTCTTCGACGGCGCCTCAACCGCTCTCGTCCTTGCCGATCCGACGATTAACGGGTTAACGCTCCCCATTCCCTGAAAATGAAACACCAAAAATTAACGCTCCAATCGTTCCCTTCCTTCCATCGCGATCAAACATTTATTATCTCTTTGTTAATTGGAACGAATTGTTTGAAAATTCAAAATTAAGGGAATGGTACGCGACAGAGAGAGAGAGAGAGAGAGAGAGAGAGAGAGAGAGAAATAGCAAGAGAGAAAAGCGTAGCTTTTTTACGTAATTATCGTTACCATCGACGACGAGTGGACAGCTACGTTTTACGATTCGCTCAACGAAACGAATTAGAGCGACCGAGCGTAACAAGTATCTGGATTTGCATTTTACGACCGACTAGTCAGAAGGTAGGAAAGGATGACACGGAGAATCGAGGAACAAAAGTACGAATAATTTACCGTGCGTGGACAACTATTCCCCCCTTTTTTTTCATTTTTTCTCTCTTTCCATTTCGATCGAAAGAAGAAGAAGAAGAAGAAGAAGGAAAAGTAAAGCGTAACAAGTATCGGTAACGAAAAGGAAGGTTGAATCCTCTACGACATAGATTTCGAAGCAAGTTTACACTGCTTTATAAGTTTCTCGAGGAAAAAAATGTTATACGCGTGGCATTCATCGTGTGATCCTGGTAGGAGAGAGAGGAGAGAGCCTCAGGCTCGCCTCTTATCCGAGGGTTAGGTCTTGGATGAACAGCTCGTTCTCTGGCAAGGGTATATCAACCTGGAGATATTCTACCAAGGGTCGAAACGTTAAAGGAACGGGAGCAACGGGAAGGAGGGTTCTGGACCGCCAAGAGGGATGCAATCTCTCTCTCTCTCTCTCTCTCTCTCTCTCTCTTTCTCGACTTCGTCCAGATATAGAGTGAATACCGAGAACTTCTCGAAGATTCTTTGTCATCTCTTTTGCAGTAGCGAGTACATGTACGGTTTGAAATAGGAATTATGCGAGAAACGCGAGACGCGCGAGACACGCGACAAAAACACAGCGGGGAGAGTAGAGGAAATATCCCCGGTATATATACCGTTTTACCACGGCAAAACTTTCCAACGGACGAACGCCATCTTCTCGAGATTCGTATCTCTACGCTTGGCGTTTCGTTCCATCTTTGCGAACTTCGTCGCGAACACGATCTTACCGTTATCGGAGACGAAACGATGCGACGCAACAACGACGCGTACCTCCACGTATATTTCTATCGTTTTCGTTTCGTAACACGGAGGAGACGATTCAAGAGCGTCATGCTCTTTTGCGTAAAATTAACCACTTTGTTATTAATTGTTTTTAATTTGTTTACGTATATATGGGATCCGATCGATGCGAAAAGAAGAAAAATTTCGAAAGAGATCGGGGGGAGGGGGGAGGAGGAGGATTTGACTTTGAAAAAGCAATCGAATATACCGATCGATACGATGCATGCACGCGATGTTCGACGCGACAGTTGGCGAGTGAGAGAGAGAGAGAGAGAGAGAGAGAGTACGCAAGAATAGTTGGTCGGCGTCGAGGAGGAAGCGGATTGATACTCGATTCGATCGAGATAGAGCGTTGGAAAAGACAATGGGAGTGTATTGTCGAATCGAGCACGCTCGACGAATTATCATTTATATCGACGCGAGCTACTGACGTCCCTTTCGACGCAAGTTCTTCAACAGCCCTTTAATCTCGATACGCGCGTAGGTAAGTACACGAGTCGGAGGAAGTGGCGGGGAGGCGAACAAGTGGAGGAAGGGAGAGAGGAGGTGCGATAGCTGGCTACTTTATACTCGGAGGCTAGCTACCTGGGTAGGTATAAAGGGGAGGTATTACGGGGTTACTAAAGTGTTGTATGGCCTCCCCAAGCCCCATAAGGATAGCCCTCAGGCACGCACCCCTGTTATCGTATGCGTATGCAGTTTTTTTCGCTGGTGCGTGCAGCCCTTATATGTGCAGTGAAGGTGAAGGGGGCATCGGGTAACACGGGCAGGCAGCCACCCAAACGACCGAAACCTGAATGCTCACCCAGGATCATCCTGGTATTTCCTCTTTTATGCGTTCTCCTCCTTCTCCTTCTCCTTCTTCTTCTTCTTCTTCTTTCTCCATTCTCCGAGAGTAGTAGTGAACGCGTCGATTTGCTCCGATTCCGATTTTCCACGCGCCGATCCATCGTCAAATTTGCACGGATTCCGGGTACTGGCGGGTACAGACGGATTTCGCGATGCGGTAGCGGCGATTCGAGGGTCAGTGAACGGATCAAAGATCAAAGAGAGGAGAAAAGGAAGTAAGTAGCGGCGCGACGCGGCTCGATACCGATCAATCGTGCGCGCAATTAGAACGGGAGTTTCGATTTCGTGCAGTTTGGAATGTCGACGTCCGGAGGGGTGCATAAATCTCCTCGCGTCACCTCAACTTTTCTAACGCTCGAACCACTTCGACTTTGACCACGAGCTTCCTATTTATACCGCGAAATTCTTGGAAGGAGAAGGCAGATAGCATCGAACCGGCTATATACGAAACAGGAGTACCTAATAATTTTCCCCTGGATTCGTTTCCAGACTTCGTTATCATCCCACCATCGAGCGCACGCAAATATTCGCGTTTCGATCAAACTTGTCCCCAACCTTGTCCTTCCTTCCTTCCTCCTATCTTCC